TTTTTTTTTAAAGCATACATATACCTCTATTGTATTGCTCGTTATGTCGAATAAACTTAGAATCATTTTGTTTTGCTGGATGATAATGAATTATTGTATTCGATGATAAGGAAATAGATCAACATTAAGATCTAGAATCAATTTTTAATTAAAAAAATTGTCTTTTATAATTCTTTATTTTTGTCAATAATCTGCTTATTTTCTTTTGTATAAAAATTCTCTCATATAAGTATTCTATTAATTCATCTATTCATTATATGGATTATATAGATTGTATACCACTCAATAGAATAATCAAAAGATTTTATTTGAATTCGATCGAAGAGTTTCAGAGTTGATTTTTTCTGAATATTATTGTAATTGTCGAATAAATAAATTAAAAAAACAAGTATTGAAGAATTTTTTTACGATGTCATAAGAATGAATCTCGGAATATTCTTCTCTAGATCATGATTAAATATGAGCATCATAGGATTTCGAAACTAACTTTATTTTTTAAAGTGTCTTACCTGTGATTTTTTGGCATACAACTGTATGAATCAATAGAACTTGACTTTGGATTATAATAACAAAGCTCTCGAAATTCAAGAAAAAATCTTACCTAGTTATCATTCAGACGTTGCTGCATCCTATAATAATCTAACATCATTCTATGAGCACAAATTGTAGTCTATTTTAAAATCAAACTTTGCATCTCATTTTAGTTTTACTATCGGCAATAAGAGCTAATGAATGAAAAAGTCCTTAGAGTAAGGGTACCATATTTTTTCTTGACTTTGCAAGGTAACTAAAAATAAAGTAACGTCCTACTCTCAACTATATTAAATAATGATTTCAAATAAGAAAACATCAAATTTATGATTTTTTTTGTGAAAAAATCATATATTTATTGAGGAAAAGTAGCCAAAATAAGACACAAATATTGTTCTATATCACTTGTTGTAAAGCATCACATGACAATTTTTAAAACAGTTTTCCTTGGCTTCTCAGAATTAGACGTGACGGATTATATAAACCATGTTGATGTTAGATATCTCAATAGTTATATGAATTTCACTAGATCTCTTTGTCAAGCTATATTAATAAGTTCTATCTCCAACGAAGTAGTTTGTTAATTGATATATGCGAAGGATCACTTCCTCACCAGTTGAATTCTGTGATTGAACCAACTGATTTTGCACTGTTTTTTTTTGCCGATTAAACCAAGAGTTTTAACCGATCACTTCGGTCTGATTGAATAAAAATCAATGAGTTTCAAGTTTGATCTGAGAACCTTTACAAATGATGATTAATTAATACGTTGATTCCTATTCTCATTTGCATTTTCGTTGAAAACAAAAATAAATACTTTAAAAATGTAATCTATTGATTAAGTTTTATATAAAACATGAGAATGTCAATGCTCTAATCTAAATAAAAGCGAATTCAATTTCAAAATCTACGGTATCTAACAAGCATTGTGTCTTGCCGTTACTAGACTTTCATAATATTAGTATAAACTTTCATCACACAGGAAAAAAAATGATTGCACAATATGCATTTTAATGCAAGTGAAATATAATATCTATAAAAAAAAGAAAGAGACGAGCCGCAATTGGTAGTCAAAACATAACTAATGTCATGAGACTGAAGCATCACATTTGGTCCTTTAGGACCACGACTGCTGATTAATTCGATACTCGTCAATTTTTGTTTATTATTAAGTTAATACAAAGGGAACATTTTTTGTTTTTTTTGTAACTTAATTATTAACATGTCTACTTTTGTTCAAGAATTAATCGCCGTGATGTGTTCCAAGGTCATCAGGCTTGGTAGAAGGGAAGTGAGTAGGGTATAGACGTGTGAATCTTCTTTTCACTCACACTCACACACTCTAGCTCAGTTAGAATTCCATGTAAAACTACAATTAAAAGCAAATTAGTTAAAATGAATTATCTATCATCAAGAATATATGTAGCATTTGTATTGACTTACACTGTCAGGGTTAGGCACTACTTTGAATCTTCGTAGTTAAAGCTAAACTACAATGGATGAGAAAAATTGATGTCATCAATAAAGCATGCAGCAAAGTAGTCGTCTTAGAACTAAAAAATGCCATTTTAACTTTGATTATCAGAGTTTAAAGAAAAAATTTAACCTTAACAAATTTACTAAAATATCTTAAACCTACAATACCACTTCTAATCAGAATCGATCATTACACAAAAAAAAAATTTGACTACGTATGACAGAGGCCACAAATTTCGACTTTGCCTGGCCTGTAGACAGCTCTAATTCATATGAAACCTTTTTTCTTTTTCTTAAGCTGTTTACCCGCACGAGTCGCTCAATATCGATCTCAAATTTAGATTGGGAATGTGGAGCATGAATCTTCTATTCAATCACACTCACAGCCATGCTCTAATCTGGATTTTAAATTAAGATAAATGATCCATCCCGACTTAAGACAGTTCCTATATTTGTCAAACGACTACAAATTGTTACTCAGCTTTGGATAAAATGTCACATTTCTGTAACATATAACTTTGTCGAATTTTAAATATCATTAATCATTACTTTCTCTTCATTGGAAAAGAAAATAACAGAAACATCATGTGTGTATTTGTGCACAATTATAACAACGATTGCTATACTTTCTAATGGCACGATACATTATTAAAAATCTTTCATTTGTGCAACGCACGCCATATAGGAAACAATAATTATTGGCATTGTTGGTAGTGACTATGAAGAAAAGTAGAATTGCTACACAAGCAATTAAGTTTTTAATTTTTTAAAGAATCTTATATACCAATATTCTTGCAAATTGTTACAAATAAGATGGGTTCCGGATGTTGTTGTTGTAAGAAAAATCAACAGATTTCATCTGAACATCATCCAATACCTCAATATATTCAGATTGCCATAAGAACGACCAATCCTATGACATTTATCGATGGTTATCTCAAAGAACCACTTGTATCTCTCGAAGAAGCTCTTGAACCTTTCAACGGTAAAATTGATCAATTATCTAACTATATTAAAGAAGCAATAATGAAATGTCATTATCCATCAGAACATAATCTTACTCGTGATGAATCAGCTGCCATCTATATTTATACAATGGAATGGGGTGATAAATGTCTACGTGATCATTTACAAGCAGCATTGAATTCTAATGATCGATCTACACTCAAACCATGGTTTAAATATCTCAAATTATTCAAAAGTGGACTTGATAAATTACCTACTGCAAAGACAGAAATTTGGCAGGGAGCACCATTTGATGAAAAGCTTAAAGAACAACTCAATACAGAACCATTATCAGTTTATTCTTCTATGTGCTCATGTTCGCCATCTGCCAATGAAATTACGAATTATCTTCAAAAAACTGCAGGTAAAAATATAATTCTTGTTGGTTATCAATCTGTGAATGGAAAATTAGTAAATGGTTATACAGCTAATAACGTACAAGAAGCGATAATGTGGCCAGGCATAAAGTTAGGACTATCAAAACATGGTATGACCGATGCTTATGATTCATGGATTCTAAGTGCAGTCAGACAGATCGGTGAGTACTATTACGATCAAAATCATAATAGTGTTCATATTTTCTACGTATTATACTTTTCTATGTTCATTCCATAATTTATTATTCTTTGCCATTGAAGTCTTTTACTAAATTCGGAGAATTGAGTTTTCATTTTTTCTCTTTCTATATGTAATTCTAGATGTCGAATAAAAATTCTTTTTTGTTGTTTATAAACTATTATTAAATAATGACAATATATATTTAGATCATTCGTCTGAATCAATGAAGAGTAACGTTATAGCATCTCGCAAACACTTCAAATGTCCATACAAACCTTGTGCCAATCGTTGTCCTGGTAATCATAGCAATAATTATTGTTTTAGGTCTGCTAGCCGTGTTCATAATTGTAAGCATCATTGTAGTCCTTATCAGATTTGTGATGCATGTGGTCAAATTAATTGTAAGCTATGTAAATGTTTTAAATGTGAAGGTTACTATTGTGTTAAATGTTGTTTTAAATAAATAGTAGCACTGAAATTATACAAATCAGAATGTATGTATAGGTATGAGTGCTATTGCAGAGAAGATTCACACTTACACTCTAAATCTATTTCAAAAAAAAAAAAAAAGTTATCCAAATTATCACTAATACTCGTTCATCAATGTGATGAAGATGTTGATTGCTTTACATTTGTCTTAAAATATGCAGTTGTCAATATTGTCTAGTGAAATTTCGAAAGAAGAAATTCAATACAAGAAAATTTTATCGATATACTACGATTGGAAAAAAGTAGAAAATTGATAGGCAACCTAATCAAATGAAAAGTAATTGATATTAATGATGAGATACAAAGTCTCATCCATATACAACCGCAAATAGAATTGTACCAATAATCAATAAAATCCAGATGCACATTCATACCCAATAGTTAGACGTAAGTATTCGATGAAGATTTATTGAATTTAATAGAACTATACTTCTAATAGATTCACATAAAATAAAATGAACTTTCTAATAAAAACCAATAAGAATAAAATGTTGAATTTAATAATGATAGATTTTTTGATGATGAACAATGGTGAATTTAATGGTAATGTACATTTATCATCAACATATGATATGTTCCATTTATTGAATTCTTTTCTTTTTGAAGACTATTTAATATTTATTTCAATTTCATTTAAATGATATTCAATAACTAAA